CTCTGATTAGCACGGTTCGCCATGTACGGAGCGAAAGAAGTTCAGCATACGTCTGTCTCCAGCTACTCCAGTTTCTTACCACATGCCAAACAATCATTAATGGGATGATGCAAATATCTCAGATCCAGATCCGCTTGAAAAAACAGTATTAAGTCGTATTGAGGTTTGCTGGGTGAATTCGATTGGTATTATTGGATTATTATTATTATCTGATGCTTGAATCACTTGTCCTGTACAGTACTGTTTTTGTTTTTCTGCATTCCCAAAGCAAGAGTTCACAGAGCAAACTAAAGCACCGTGTACGTATACTCCTATAATAGCATTTACACTGGTAACTTGCACCCGAAGTTAATGTAAATCGAAGGTTGGTGTATTTCACATTGATTGAGAGAACGCTAGAGTGACCTTTGTGATGAGTGATCGAATACCAACTACATGGCCAATGACTGTTAGTTTCCTATCATGGTAACTAACAGCCCTTTGCCAATCGCAATCAGAATATTTAAACTGGAGGAATCCGATGAGCTATAAAGCTCTTTTTCACAGATGTCCGGTAGAGGCGGGTCAGAACGTTACAACAACAAACACTGCAAAGACACGATGGGAGTGCAAAGTATAGCAACGGTAAGGAGAAGGCAAAAAAATGCAAATAAAACAAAACTTTTTTTTATTTCATCAGGTAAAGACCACTGAAGTTTCGATTTAAAGCTTTCGTGACTGCAATGATTCATCTTCTTTGGTTCTTTCGGTAAAGTCACGTAGAATGATAATAAAATAATAAATTGATAAAATAAAATAACACAATAATATTCTCACGACGTTTCGGCCACAACACAAGCGGCCTTCATCAGGTGAAGGGGGCGAGACTGTCTGGTAGGACAACTCCAGCGCTGTGAAGGCCGCTTGTGTTGTGGCCGAAACGTCGTGAGAATATTATTGTTATTTTATTTGATCAATTTATTATTTTATTATCATTCTACGTGACTTTACCGAAAGAACCAAAGAAGACCACTGAAGTATTTTATCAGGTAAACCCCACTGAGCGTCTTTTTTCAGAAGCGACCTGACCACAAATGATAGTTCAACGAAGCGGCTTAACGTGTGGACATTTATAGCAGCCAAATAATCTTGATAAAAGTATTCACATATTTGGGGTTGTATCGGTATCCTGAGCCACCACGCTGGTCATTGCGAGTTGCTGATGAGGAGTTTGGGTGTATGACTGATTCGCATGTCACTCTTCAGTGTTTTTTTTTTAGCCAAATCAGCTTCTTGGCTTTCAAGACCAATATGATCCAGCAAGTAGGTGTCGGGGCAAGCACATTCTGCACCGGGTGTTTCACATTGTTGATAATGAGTTCGTGTGCCCGGTAGCAACGCGACGCTTTCTTTGCCGGTCCCTGGCTTGCCGCTCAGACACGCAGGATGCGAGTGTTGGATTCTCGCGTTCCACGCGCTGGTTATTTCGTCACTCGTAATGCTTCATTCATGCAAACACACGCATCCGAACGATAGAGGTTCCAGGAAGTCCGATAGCTGCAGCCGCGGGGAGTGAAACTGCGCTGCCGGGCGGAGTGTTTCTGAATCCAATAAGCTTAATCGTTTGCCATATCACGTGTAAAGTTGCACACTCCTCCACCGTTTGGTTTCATGTGCGCAGACTAATGCAAGGAAACAGCAGCGATAAGCGACATCCTCCCCACGTTGCATTAATTTGAATTGCCGTGTGTGTGTGCGGACGTGTGTACGTGTGTGTGTGTCTTCTTCCTTTCCCCAACAGCCTATGTCGGTTATCCGGGTGATATTTGTTGAAGTCATAATCTCCGTTTTCTTATGCAAGTGATGGCAGCGACCTATAAATATCGGCACGACGTTGAAAGGGCTGGTGGTGTCGCAATAATGAAACCCGCCGGTCGCCTTTGTTTCCCCATTGCATATTCACAACATACCAGGTACTCATTTAATGCTGAGTAAACCTAGGAGAAGCACAGGACAGACTCCCTACATATTATTGAAGGGGGACATTTTTTGTTTGTAATTTCATGTGATGGCGTGTTCTCATGTGGGAAATGTAAGGACGGATAATCGTGTCGTATACATGGCATTGGATTGTGTATATTCATAAGGCACGTCAATGCCTCGGCATCTGCACATTCGTAATTAGCAGTAATTTGTATGCACACGTGCAAAGACAAATGTAATTTTGATTACATTTTGATGGTGATGCGTAATTTAAGCACTTGCCATTTGTGACTCTGCAGGTTACCAATTCCATACCGGGGTAGTCACGGTGTTCACCTACGCACGGAACAATGGTTTTATACAAACGGCTGGCGTTGCTTTGCACACAAAAAAACGCATCATCATCATCATCAGCCATGCGCAATCCACTGCTGGATGAAGGCTTACAACCAGCACCGTACAACACGAGCTCATTTTCATCGCTCAATCTCGTCGGTGGATGTTTCTCTCGGATCTTAGTATCCTGCACAGCGATGCCTTCATACGTAAAGACGTATGGCTGGCTGTGTGCCGCGCTGGACATGCTGAGGGAGATAATATTCCGGGAGCGGTTGAGGAAGACGTGGAGACAGGAGGTGAGGATGGAGGTGACGCGCGGAGCGGAGAGAGAGGGTCGCTCTGAATCTAAATCATTTTTGTGGAAAACGCAATTTCTCTCCGCGTGCAACCAACGACCTCTTAAAATAAATTGTGCTCCCTTTGATTCTTCCGCCAAATGTTACCCACTTCCACCAAGCCCCCCCCCCCCCCCCCATGATAGCCCCGTTTTGATTGAAGGCCACACATGATTGCCTGTGTCGCTTGCACAGAGCAGCCTCCGAGGATAAAAAAAAATGTTGGGGGGGTGGGGTTTAGGGGAGGTCTGCGGGAGACGCTGCGAGGGAGGATGGGGGGAGTGGATAGGGGGGTGGAGGTATGGGGGGTTGAGAAATGTCGTGGCCGGATTAACCTCTTGCATCGCAATGACAGGTTTACTCAGCCGCTATGCAAATCCATCTATCTGTGCGCGCTCGCCACCTCAAGGTGCGCGCTAACATTCGCCACGAAGCGCCAACAGCGCTGATGCTGCTGCCCTGTACCAACATTTAACGGCAGCGGTCGGCTGCAGAGGAGTGTCCACGTCGGATTTGTGAATGTCGTTTTTGTGAATGTTCGTGGGGAGCGGTGGGCGCAGTGGTTAACGCGTCGCCCATCGAGCTCTGCGACACCGGGTACGATGCCCGCTAACGGCCACCAACTCCAGTGACGATTGTCTGTACCGGTGCCGGGCCTCCCCTAGGTCGACTCAGCCTCAAATGTAGTACCTGGTGTGTAAACATCGCCACCGGGCGTGGTGATGGCCACCCACGCCCTCGTGTGCTCTGCCGGCCTTCATCGGTGCTGCTCGCTAACAGCACCTGCCCTGGCAGCCTGTTAAGGCTGGCACAAGCGCAGTGGCCGCCACTCACTGGCGGAACGGCGGCTGCCGTATTATCGACTGCAACGATCGATTCTCACACGCACGAGTCGACGTGTCGCGTCTGTTGAGCCTGAACATCGATGTGCATCGTTCATCGGTAGCGACTCGCCCGCGTGTGCTATCCCAAGGTCTGTTCGTGGTCGACGAAGGCTGAGCGGTTCTCGGCTGTTCCGAGTTCTCGTTCTTGGCGAGCACAAATTCACGCGCTGTTACTTTTCTTGACGGTATTGTCCGTCTCGCGGCACAAAACAATAAATAAACGGACGCGATTAAGTCATCTAGACGCGCGTGCCTGAGTGTGTGATTATCTTATGAGTGTCGTGACGTGCTATGAAATCTGTTGACAACTCCCAGCAGCAGTCGGCATAATATATATCGATGCCGCAGAGTTCAATGTTTACGCAGTTTGGAGTGATGGTGGGATTCGGGAGACGGGGAAGGAGAATGGAGGGATGTGTGATGGTGGCAGTGGTGGTGGAAGTGGAAAGGGTGATGGGGCAGAGGAAAGATCGGCTCTTTGGGGAAATTTGTATACACGTTGATCGACCTGGCAAATGTGAGCCTGGGTTTATGGAGAGATAAGCTAAACTATTAAATTTCAATTTTATTTTATTTTACCCGGTGAGGCCCACTGAGGTATTTAGCTCTTTTTCAGGAGCCACCTGGTCACAAATGATAGCTCAGCGAAGTGGCTTATCCACCTAGCAGACAAATACTCTAAGCGCATGTTTCTAAATGTGGAGGACAAAATGAACATGCAAACTTCAAATATACAGCAGGCGTCAGGGTCGGGATCGGGATCGAACCCACGCTCTCCTTCATACCAGGCGAGGGAGTTAACATCTCGCCACCGGGCATTCCTGTTAAGGAGTCTGATTTACATCTTGATAAAACAGCTGGACGGCATCGCCTTGGCTATCTGCGCCGCTCGTTGTGAAGGAGACATTGGTGCGTTTCGGGCCAAACATGAATCCGCCGTTATCTCTCCGCTGCTGGGTGAAAGTCCCCCCCAAGCCGTCATTTCTCGCGATCCCGCGATGCGACAATCCACCCTAGCGCATGCACACGAGCTGATTTCATCGATCGATCTCCACGGTACAGTGCTCTTTGAAACTTTGCCATCTCTTGGATGAAAGAAAAAAAACAATGCATCGAAAGATGAACATTTGCTAACAACACGTTGTTCAGTCCACGTGTCTCTATTGAAATATAAACGGTCACGTTCGCACGTCCGGATTAGTAATAGCGGTGACATCTCGCTCTGCATTTTCTGGGGGGGGGGGGGGGGGGTTTCTGAGACATCGCTCCCCATTTCGGGTACAATTAAAATCACGCTGGTGCGTTCTGTGCGAGCCGCTGATTTCCCCAAGTGTGACCAGTCTCGAGTCTGCACGTCCGTACATCAAACAAAGACAAAGCTCGCCCGTATAGCCTTAACATTCTGTTGAGGCAAGTGCTCTTAGCGAGTAGCACATATGAAGGCCGGCACGACACACGAGGGAGTGGGTGGTCAGCACCACGCTCAGCCGCCTTTGTCTTCCCAGTGGAGATGTGTTACACACGCACCAGGTACTAATCTATCGCTCCCCACATCATCAAGCACACATGCAAATACTCCCCCCTCGCCACTCCGTGTAGCCTTCAACAGAATGTTGGCACAAGTGGTGTTAGCGAGTACCTATTACGGTCGGCATGGCGCGCAAGGGGATGGGTGGCCAGCATGATTTCCGGCCGCCTTTATCTACCTAATGCTTACGTTTAGACACGCTGCACCAGGTATTCCTTGAAAGCTGACGCGACCTCGGGGAGGCACACGACCGGTGCAAATATTCGTCACTGGCGCTGGCTGTGAGCGTTGGTCGAACTCGGGTCGCCGGGTTCTTAGCTCCGTGCGGCTGCTACACACGTATGTTGAACGCACATCGATGGTCATCTCAGTGAGTGATGGGGGTTATATAATGATTCACCCTCCCCCGCCAAGCGATTTGGTGAATTGCCACGGTTTGGAATCGCGATTCTTGGTTGTCTCCTTACTGTCTAGTTTGTAGATTTGTTCCCTCCATTTGCCTAAATGTAACAGCCTTCATCATTCATATGCAATTGGCATGAATTGTAAATAATTGCTTCTCACACTCGCGATTCGAGGTATACATATGTCGAGAGCCGAATGCATGATTGTAATCGTAGGGGTGATATTACATGCAGAGACGTACCGACGGTACGGCGAATCGGGGCGACCGCCTCGTGTCCCGCTTTATTTTTGGTGTCAGATTTCATCCTAACGGTTTAGTTGTAAGGTGGCGTGAGGGTCCACACGGTGGGATTTACCCAGGGCCCTGCACCCCCGCACCCCATGGACGGCTCTGATTCCATACCTACTCAACATTCCACGGTGTTCTGGGTGAAACGACAATCGTGTGTCTCTATGAGTCGCCAGCCGTGGGAGGGGACTGTGTTGATCGTCGTCTTTCTGTCTGGTTTTTCTGTGTCCCTGTGTCCTCTCGCCGTTCGTCCGTCTCTCTGTGCCTCTTCCGTTCCTCGAATGGATTTTTTTTTTGCAGCGCTCCTCACAGCTGTGCGTCCTAGGCTGCCGTCTTGATCACCCCCCTCCCCCACCAAAAGCTGAGGCTGTTGTGGGTGACACGAAAGCTGCACCGTTGTACGATCTTGACCGTGTCGTGCCACTGTGCTTCTTGTAATAGTCTGCAGATATTTCCCCACGGGGTGGGGGGCAATTGTGACGCGCGTGGTGTTTTTAGATGTATGTTTTTTTTACTTGTCTCGTCTTGTTTAAATACTCGCTGTCGGCGTGTCGCCGGAGCCGAGGCGATCATTATAATTGCATCGTCCGTCGCATCTTTCCTGCAGGTCGCTTGCGATAGCCAGAGGGCGCCCGTGTGCGTCCTTTGTTCAAAGTGTTTGTTCATGCCGCATTCCGTGCACGCCGCCTGTTCGCGCTGCCAGGTTCAGCTGTACCGATACCCTCCCCCTTCCCACCGTGGGCTGCTAGAGTCGCAGGAACCTTTGTGGGCGCAAAGGCTCCGTGAAAGGTCTACAGCCAGCAAAGGTGCACGTTAAATTTAGGTAAATCAGCACGCTTATATATTGCATGCCGGTTCGTTAGACTCGGCAGCAGCGCCCGGGCCCGCTGGTGCGTGCGCGAGTGGGGGATTGGGTGGACGGCAATGCCAGGTGCCCTCCGCGGCGCGGTGGAGTTGAGCGCGTGCTGGTGGCGTAGGCTGGCACTGCGGCGCGTTTAGGGCGCCAGACGGAGTGTCCCTTCGTGCGAGGCGAGCGTCGTCAGAACCGCTACCGCACTGCTGCTGCTACTGCTGTCGTCTGCTATTGCTTGCTGCTGTCACCACAGCTGGAGTCACTTATTCACCAAACTGCGTTTACACGCAGGAGACAGTGAGGTTGGGAGGGGGGGGTGGGCGCTTTAAATCCGAGGCGTCGCGCGCGGTGGAATCTTCCCATTATCGCAGGGAGGTGGTCCGGTGCGGTGGACGAGTTTGGTGCGATTTTGTGAAAGGCGTGCGGTTCGTGCGGCGGTTGTATCAAACAGCCGCAAAGACATTGACAACAACAAACCACACAAACACACAACAGGAAAAGAAGAATATTCCTACTCGCTCAGCGCAGGCGAGGCACGGGTTGTGTTTGCGCACGCGACTCGACAAGGACGTCGTCCCGACGGCCATGGACCTCAGCGCGAGCAAGGATGTGGACGAGGACATGGATGACGGGACCCCGTGGAGCGATGTGAGGCCAGAGCAGCTCCACTCCATGTGTCAGAGACTCCGCGGGCTGTGAGTGCACACCTATGTTCACTCGCTTGTGCAGAAACACACGTGTACACGCTTGCTGGGGTGATGTACTGTTAGCGAGTACTGTACCTATTAAGATCGACAAGGTATACGCGCCAGTGGTGTGGTTAGTATCACGTCCGGCCGGCCGCCTTTGTTTCCCCAGTTTTAATAATCACACACCGCAGCAGGTACTTTGTTAAGGCCCAGTCGACCTAGGGGAGACTCAGGACCGTTTTAGATACAACACGTCACTGATGTTAAGCAGTGGCTACGAGTTCACCAAGCAAACATAAATTCGGGTAAAAATTTATTTGAGCAACTAAGCGTAGTTTAAAACAATTACCGTAATGTAAATTTATATTCACAGGAAGGTCTCACCGAGTCCCGATACATTTCCTTCAGGAAAGTCATACTCAGGATATTTGGGCAATTCCCCAATGAGCACATTCATTCGAGGTGTGTTGTGATCCACCAACAGCGAGTGTCGGAGCACGGTGTTATGACTGGCGTGCAACCGTCATGCCGGTTAAATTTAAGGGTCAGCCCACTAGATGCCCTCCAGTGTCGATGTTCACACACGGTTAGCAGACGCTCAACCAAGGGCACTTGTGCCCGTGTGCCCGTGTGCCGCAGCAGCGAAAACTGCCCGCCGGGCGGGGACTCTTAGCGCATTGCACCGCAGTTGCACATACACGCGCTGCACGCAACCACAAGCGCGCGCGCGCGCGCGGGCAGGCACACGGACACACCGTGCGCTGTTGTGCACGGGGCCGGTGATGTTGCTGCTAAAGAGAGAGAGCTTCCGGACATTGCGGGCAACGCATTGTGCACGCGCATGTCATGCAGAGACGGCGCCCACCCACTGCGTACGCACGCATCGCAGAGTGCACGTTTTGTCCTGCACAGCAAAAGTAGCGAATTCATTCCAGTACACACCGTACGCGTTGGTTTGCGAGCGCCTGTTTGTGTCTTTTTTTCGTGCTGTGTGCACACGTGCCTGGTTAGTGCCCAAATCTAAAAACAAGACAAACAGCCCCCGTATAGCCTTAATAGACTTTTGTGGCAAATGATGTTAGTGAACGCCTATGAAGGCCGGGGTGGCTAGCACCACGCCTGGTCGGCTTTGTCTCCCATGTGGCGGTGTTTGTACACCGCGCCAGGTACTCATTTGAGGCTGAATCGACCTAGGGAAGGCCCAAGACCGGTTCAGATATTTTTCGTCACTGGTGTTGGTGGCCGTGAGCGGAAATCGAACGCGGGTGGCAGGGTTCATAGCGCAGTGCGCTTACTGCTGCACCACCGCTCCCCATATATCTACTGCACGCGTACGCACGCATAGACGATGCGAGATCTCCCTGTACGGACATGCAGACTGAGTGCAAGAGTTGTTAGCGAGCACCGACATTTATCGCTTTTGTGAATAACAAATTAGGTACACATCAAGACGCAATTTCAGCGAGAAGCAAAACGTTAAAACGACCCAAGAGCAAGAAAAAGGCGCGTAAATAACACACAAACGTCGCAACAATCAATACACATCCCTGAGTACTGTACACGAAGTTAAAGAAAAGAGGAAATAAAGGATGGGCGTAGGTCAGAGCACAATAAAAGCGGAAGAGCTTGATGAATTATTTTTTTATTCACTTTCTTTTTTATTTTATTTTTTCTATCGACGTGACTTTACCGAAAGAACCAAAGAAAACGAGGTCGGCGCTGCGCCAGATGCGGTGCCAAGCGGCACCACGCCCAGCCGTCTTTGTCTCCCCCAGTGCTGACGCGTACACACATACACACCACTGTCGTGGGGGCGATGCCGAATTGATCGTGCGGCGGATGCCCAGCAACGGCAGCGATGCCAAGTTTGAATTTGTGTCCTCCACATGTCATAAATATTGACAGCGAACAACCGGCGGGTTCAACGTCCCGCTGCGTTAAGCCGTGGTCGGGAATCGAACTCAATGCGTAGTGCATGCAGCGCGCGTTACACACCACCGTGCAATACTGCAAGAGACGAAGATCTGCCATATCGCCTGTAACAGACTGTTGGGGGGCAAGTGCTCTTAGCGAGTAGCAGCACCTTTGAAGGCCGGCACGGCAAACGAGGGGGTGGGTGGGCAGGACCACGCCCGGCCGCCTTTGTCTCCCCAGTGGCGATGTTTACATAACACTGCACCAGGTACTCATTTGAGGCTGAGTAGACCTAGGGGAGGACCCGGACCGGTTTAGATCATCGTCACTGGTGTTGGCCGTGAGCGGGAATCGAACTCGGATCGCCAGGTTCGCAGCGCAGCGCGTTAACCGCTACACTACCGCTCCCTATTGTACATCACCCATATACAGTGAGGGAAAAAAAGTATTTGATCCCCTGCTGATTTTGTACGTTTGCCCACTGACAAAGAAATGATCAGTCTATAATTTTCATGGTAGGTTTATTTGAACAGTGAGAGACAGAATAACAACAACAAAAATCCAGAAAAACGCATGTCAAAAATGTTAGTAATTGATTTGCATTTTAATGAGGGAAATAAGTATTTGACCCCTCTGCAAAACATGACTTGGTGGCAAAACCCTTGTTGGCAATCACAGAGGTCAGACGTTTCTTGTAGTTGGCCACCAGGTTTGCACACATCTCAGGAGGGATTTTGTCCCACTCCTCTTTGTAGATCTTCTCCAAGTCATTAAGGTTTCGAGGCTGACGTTTGGCAACTCGAACCTTCAGCTCCCTCCACAGATTTTCTATGGGATTAAGGTCTGGAGTCTGGCTAGGCCACTCCAGGACCTTAATGTGCTTCTTCTTGAGCCACTCCTTTGTTGCCTTGGCCGTGTGTTTTGGGTCATTGTCATGCTGGAATACCCATCCACGACCCATTTTCAATGCCCTGGCTGAGGGAAGGAGGTTCTCTCCCAAGATTTGATGGTACATGGCCCCGTCCATCGTCCCTTTGATGCGGTGAAGTTGTCCTGTCCCCTTAGCAGAAAAACACCCCAAAGCATTGTTTCCACCTCCATGTTTGACGGTGGGGATGGTGTTCTTGGGGTCATATACAGCATTCCTCCTCCTCCAAACACGGCGAGTTGAGTTGATGCCAAAGAGCTCCATTTTTGTCTCATCTGACCACAACACTTTCACCCAGTTGTCCTCTGAATCATTCAGATGTTCATTGGCACACTTCAGACGGGCATGTATATGTGCTTTCTTGAGCAGGGGGACCTTGCGGGCGCTGCAGGATTTCAGTCCTTCATGGCGTAGTGTGTTACCAATTGTTTTCTTGGTGACTATGGTCCCAGCTGCCTTGAGATCATTGACAAGATCCTCCCGTGTAGTTCTGGGCTGATTCCTCACCGTTCTCATGATCATTGCAACTCCACGAGGTGAGATCTTGCATGGAGCCCCAGGCCGAGGGAGATTGACAGTTCTTTTGTGTTTCTTCCATTTGCGAATAATCGCACCAACTGTTGTCACCTGGGCTACAAGACCATTGCTTGGCAATGGTCTTGTAGCCCATTCCAGCCTTGTGTAGGTCTACAATCTTGTCCCTGACATCCTTGGAGAGCTCTTTGGTCTTGGCCATGGTGGATAGTTTGGAATCTGATTGATTGATTGCTTCTGTGGACAGGTGTCTTTTATACAGGTAACAAGCGGAGATTAGGAGCACTCCCTTTAAGAGTGTGCTCCTAATCTCAGCTTGTTACCTGTATAAAAGACACCTGGGAGCCAGAAATCTTTCTGATTGAGAGTGGGTCAAATACTTATTTCCCTCATTAAAATGCAAATCAATTTCTAACATTTTTGACATGCGTTTTTCTGGATTTTTTTTGTTGTTATTCTGTCTCTCACTGTTCAAATAAACCTACCATTAAAATTATAGACTGATCATTTGTTTGTCAGTGGGCAAACGTACAAAATCAGCAGGGGATCAAATACTTTTTTCCCTCACTGTACACGCACAAGCACAACGCACAATATTACCCATAATATAGTTTTTTTGGGTTAGATTACGTAAATATAAATGCGTCGTTAAACCCGCCACCACCCGCCAATTTGTAAGGTTTTGCCACGTAAACAGAACATGCCAATTCGTTACTCGTGTAGTGCTGTAGAACCACGCGGAGACGAGGAATTATTTAAGGGCTGTTGCCGTTTAATAAAACACGGTTACACTCGACATCCTACGCTCACGTCAGTGTAGATGCACTCTATCTCGGTCCTTTACCCCGGACACTGAATACTATTTGGGCCCTACCCTCGGCTACCCTTTGGACTCTCTCACTCGTCTGCCCGGAGCGGGGGTTCAGCCAACACCGCTCTGCGACGAGGAGAGAGAGACCCTCTGCAGCTGATCCTTACCCTGGTTTCCTCCAACGACCCCGCCTCCGTCACTGGGCCCCCCTTAAGAACCCTTTGGGCGGCTCCTCCCCCCAGCTTGGCTCCGCCCATGTTCCCGAAGATGCTCTCCAAAGCCCATTACGTAACCCGTGATGTTGCGTCATTCTTGACTATCAACCCGCTCGCACCTCCTTCTACTCTTGGTTACTCACAATACTCCTCTACACTAGGACAGCACACCGGTGTGTCGGAGAGAAAATCCACAATATTTCCAATCTAAGTAGAACGTTTCGCCAATAATTACAACGAGCCTCATCAGGCGGACAGCCATATTTATTATATTGCACAGGCAGGCCTCACGATATGGGGGCGAGGTGGTGGGGAAGTGGCTTACAACTACCAGTGCCCCAAGCAACAACATGTTACAACATTTTGAGGGGTGATTTCACGTAGCACAATTAACAAACGAGCAAGCACGCTCAAAGCCCAGCCAATCACGAGATGATTTACATGGGAGGGAATGGGGGGGTCCCCAGGGGGGGGGGGGTCCCCACCCAGCTCAAGAATGGGGGGCCCAGGGTTGGCACACGCAACCCATATCGATTACTGGTGTCTCACATTTCTCTCGACGGGCCTGCATACACACGCGTGGACACACCACCCTTACAACATA